TGTTTCGGCAACGTGATACGAAAATAAATCAGCACACGAGAAAGGAACTTCTGAATACAGATAAAAAGGATTTGATGTATTTACAACGTGTTTTTCGGGTAGTCCGTTTGATCGGCTGGCGATCGTCTCGATTGCACGTTCGTTCAGTTGTCGATTGCAAAACGAGAAAATTTGATCCTCCTGTTTCGTTCATTTCGTCTACCGATGCCGCGATAGATCGCTCCTAGCTCCCCGGTTGGTGCTCGCAATCTACGTGTCGTAATTTGCTCAATCGCTCGATCTCTTTCTGGTCCAGTGGTCTTCCCCTGCCAATCGCGCTATCGAATGGGCGGGTAGAACATTAGTTACCGGTAACAAGCGCGCGGAACAAGTACGTTACAACGTACCGAGGGCATGTTCTACACAACCATAAAGTACGCGTCACACCATACTATTTGTGCAAACCTCACGGCCTAGGCGTGGATTTGTTTACCGGTTTGCGGACAAGGACTCTGAACGGACATGGTATTTGGAATCGATTGTGATCGACTTTTCAAATGCGCGTTTACGTTTGTCTATTATTGTCGCCGATGTAGAAAGAAAATGCTATTTTTCAGGATTTATCAATAACCGAGGGAAAAGTACACAGTTGGAAAAAATGTGTTGACTTTAACATAAATCGCATGTCCCAAACGGTCCACTCAAATTTTTGAGTTAATTTTACACAAGATGAATATGTTAGAAGGTAACAAAAATATTATGTAAGAGAATAAATACAAAGAAAGATAACATCGACACAGTTGTGAACAAACCGTGGAAACATTTTTTTTTCAGAAAATTAACATTTATGGCATTCCAAGAATGGATCTGAACACGGAGAAAACCCGCGAAACGCAAGATTGTCATAATCACATTATGTCAAATTAACACTCGAACATATTAAAAAATTTTACACAAACTGTTAACACAAACGTGAGTGGACCGTTTCTAACACAAATACACAAATTTTTTTATTGTGTAAACCAGACGAAAATAAATCTTTTTATGTTCGCAAAACAGTTGAAGTACCAAAATTCTCTATCCGGTCATTTGCTGACACAACTAACCCGTTTTTTAGCGACGGGACAGCGTTTATCTTCGTTTTTCCGGCCACCGAACCCTCCACAGCCGTCTCTCCGACTAGCTTTTCATATCGTTGATTCGCGTACGTAGTTCGTAGTTTGTGTAGTTCAAACAACGACGAACAGTTAGATACGACACTTTTATTCGCAGGCGCGGACGGCGCGGTACCACAACTCGTTACCGCAGCGCCGGCACCTGCGCCAGATGGTGAAATAATTTGAAACTCGCGAATAAGCGACAGGTCCTCGGGTTACTGGGTTTCAGGAAAATTGAAAATTGCTTGTCCTTTCTTAGTTTCACGAGTACGGCGGGATCGTAGAGCACTCTTTGTCCTTTTTCACCCAGTGGCGAATTGGAAGAGAGGATGACAGCCGATGCAAGAGCTGCCGTGGGGCTTGTGGAAATCCCAAACTTGTCGATAGATTCGTTAGAGCCAACCCGAGGCTCTCTCGCTCTCGCGCGGAACTGTCGGGCTGCGCAACCGTATTTTCCACCCCCGAACTTCCGACCAAATTGAATCACGCGGAATTTCGCGGTAACAATCTTCTGTTTGACTTCGAGCGACCGGTTGATTCACTTCGTGCTCGGGATCCGCGCGCGTCTTCACAGCCGTCAGGCATGGCGATCTTACTTCCCTCATTGAACGGGTTTGAGTCTTCTTCTGCGTAACTCGATCACGATGTATTTGAAAAGATCGTGTTGTAGAGACCATACCGAAAGGTAACTTCTTGTTAGTAAATTTTCGAGAGTATACTATCGACATAACTTTTTAAAGAAAAATGATTGGATTTAACTTTAGAACACTATCATACGTAAGTTTGACGTGTACTCAATGCACATTTCCACCAATGTAGTTTAGCTTTAATCTCGATTCTACTTACTCTTCATCTTTTCGTAGTTCTAAAAATTAGAAAAAGATAAAAATTAAGTTGAACAGAGATTAAACTATCGAGATTAATCTACATTGGTGGAAAGGGGCATAAGTGAGCAAAGTCATTGAGCACTATACCTTCAATAGTCAACAAGAAGTTTTGCTAAAAGTTGGGACAAGTGGAGATAAGTTTTTAAAATTTCAGTCCATTATACAATACCACTTAAAATTATATCACCTTTCGATTTTTTGAGCATAACTTTTGTCAAAGTGAATCGAATGTGCTCAAATTTATACAGCAGACACTTGGTTGGCCGGTGTACCTTATACGTAAAATATAATGAGATTTAACAATGTACACTATGATTTTTTAATTTTTTACTAATTTTTCACTTCGAATGGTCAGAAAATCGAAAGGTGACATAATTTTGACCGGTACTGTATATAAGCTTAGCTTTTCTAGTGGTCACTATTCCCAGGTAGCACCTATTGATTCATATATTGTACGTTTTATAAACGTATCTAATATTCTATATAAGCGTTTAGGAAATGTATATGTAAAACCAACATATACTACACTGAAAAAAAAAATTGGCTGCTGTAGCAAATTAGATGGTAAAATATGGCATTTTTAATTGGTTGCAGCAGCCAATTTTTGATTGTGTTAGCTTATCGAAATCCTATACTGACGTTGCAGATAGGCTAATACAACCAAAAATTGGCTGCTGCAATCAATTAAAAATGCTATGTCATATTTTACCATCTAATTTGCTGCATCAGCTAATCTTTTTTTTTCAGTGTAGCAAAATGTTGTAATATCAATAGTTTTTAAACGGTGAGCCTTTAAAAATGTTCAACCACGGGCATGAAATTCGCACCGTCAAGAGCGATGCAACTAATAGCGTTTTTTTACTAGCAGAACTAGTGCGCGCTCAGTGCACATTAAAGCTGTTGTACACTCACCTAATCTGAATGTAAAAGTGAGATATTACAATTAATAAAATACCCAATGTATATTTTATCAAATAGCACAATACAATGTATTGAGGCTTTCGCGGTTTTTAATTCGTTTCTATATTTTTATTAAACACATACATGTACATCTTTACGTTGATTTGTGTACAACGGCTTTAAAGTGCATTGAGTGCGCACCAGCTGCCAGTGAAAAACGCTATAAGCGGCCGACCGCGAGAACGCTTTGACGGATACCACTAAACGGCACGGTATCGAACGAGTAAGGTTCGTGAAATCTCTGTATTAACATCTCTACTGTGGTATTCTTAAATTGAGTCCGATTTAATTGATGAGAAGTAATGTCAATTGCAAATTTGATATAACGTCATTTATATTAGTAAAAAGGATATTTTTGAAATATACTTTAAGTAATAAACAAATAAATTTATAAATAAAATGAATATTAATCAAATTATCCAAACAAATAATATTAAAAACATCAATTTACAGATATTTCTAAAACTTCTTTTCTGTCACAAACAATATTAGAAGAAATTTATATTTGAAATGCGCATTTGATATAAATAAATATATTTCATATTTAGGAAATATTAAACGAAATTCCGAATTACGATAGGAGAGAAAAGTAATACAGTGAAGAAATCGAAGTATGTAAGTAAGTAATAAGCTGTATTGTTATTCGAAATTTCGTTCATTTTATATTTCCTAAATATGAAATATTTATTTAAATGAGCATTTCAAATGTAAATTTTTTTGCTCTGTGATTGGACATTTTCAAAGGCTCACCATTTAAAAAATATTGATATTACATTTTGCTATTGACATTTTCGACTCACTTTTTCATGAGGTATATGTATGTGTCGGCTCCTGCGGTTGATCTGGATCATTCTATATATTTTATTATTATAAGGAGACAATGGACGTATTATTTGAAGATCAAATTTAGTGTCCTTATTCTTTCTTTCCTTTTAGATTAACAATTAGATTATTTTTTATGTCTGTAAAAGTCTACAATGTTATAAATGTTTTGCCATTAAAAGTGTGAAATGTCTTACTTTAATAAAGCTCTTATTTTAATTCAAAGTGACCTATTTCGTCGGTTATAAAATTTACGTATAAATTAAAATGTATTGTTCAATATCGATAGAGTTCTATAAGGTTAATAGGGCAATTGTTTATTTTTATACATAAGATATTTATATCTAACAAAATGCACAATATGTGGTATTTTAATGTGTTATAATATTCATGTATGTATCATAACAATGGGGTATATGAATACTCTTCGATTATTTTAGATTGTCTTTTTTGAAATAAAATATTACAAATTAACAAGAAAATGTAATTTATGTGATGCATTTCTAAATAATAATGCACGAATGTGCATTTAATTTATTATACAGCGTATATTTTCGAATTAAATTAATTTAGTATTTCATCCAACGCAACGCCCTGATTTTCGTGAAACTTTCTCTGTTTAAAGTGTCCACGTTGATTTTTCAAATTTGTCCGTCTTTCGTATTTACAGCCGTAATTAAAAAAATTTACATATATTCCACTTAAATTACCACTGTGTGGTTTTCTAAAATTTCAATTTTACGTAGTACGTCTGAGATCTCGTATTGTAGCTTATTCGAAAAGATACGATTCTCCAGCGTATACGCTGCGTATGTCTATTGTGAAATGTTCTGTGTGCGATTGTTACCGCGTAACTCGAATAAAGCAGAAGCTTTAGAGAAAATAGAAAATTGGCTCCAAGATATCCGAAGAGAGCCATTTGATTTGATAGCGGTATTTGATGTTCAAGCAAGCCGGCACTTAATATTGTTTGACGATTTCGTTTTGCGTCTTTTTAATTGCAATACATCAAGCGATCATTCTTTTTATGTGCCGACGCATAATTTAGTTTTTGTTTTCATAATATTAGCATCGATATTTAGTTGAAATAAAATTGCTGCGTGCGTTAATTATTTACTTGTTTTGCAATGCATAAAACCTTTTTGCTAGAATAAGAATCATAAATTAAATAAATATGTGTTTCCTATGTTTGCAGATAAACAATAGTGCTGCCGCGTACCAATTTTGGGAATAGAAATGAGTTGAGGATCGTCTACGATGTTGAGTCGTCTCTCGGCCGTGGTGGCCTCCATTTTGGTTCACCAGATATATTTTCTATGCACTGCCAGCACGTTGTTAGGTAAATTATAAAATTCTGTAATATTTATATAATATTGTATAACAATATAATATATTTAACTAAATAAGAAAAGCCCCACTTACGGTCAGATGTTGGAATAATAATTATATCTAAATGTATTTAAATAAATTTATCTTAAATATATGACTGCACGCGAATTACAAACTTATTATAATATATTTAAAAAGTATATATGATATTTCATGTAATACGAAAACAAGCTTGTGATCTTTAACGTGAAACAAATGATCACTCTACAATATGTTTAATGCCACGAAGGTAAAAACTAACAGAATTAAAGACAAAAAAGAGAGTATGACAAGCGGATTTACTGTATACATGAACGAAATTTTTATACTATTTATTTGTTTTTCTGGCTTGCTCGCGGGACGCTAGTCTTTGTTGTCAGTGAAAAATATTCAGACACAGTTGTTGGGAAAAGGCAAATCAGATTATACTGAATAACGGGCTATGAGCTGAACGGTCGGTATCCAGAACCTTGTCCTATAATTTTCCAATTAAGGCATTGGATTCTCATAAATCCACAAGCACGGACGGTTTCCATAAATTTGACGTCGTACCGAGCGCGCGACAAACCGCGGTCGATTCGACGTACTTTTAGATTCGAGGCGGCTCTTACAACGTTTGGATGAAATGCTGAAATTGAAGGGAAAGAAGAACTATGAGAATCGTGCAATTGGTCACGATACTTCCGAATGGTACGGAAGTCTGTTTTTCCTTTGACAGAAATAATATAGAGCACTTCCGAAGCGTATTGGATCTGGGCGCGACTGCTCGCTGTCTTTGTGTAACGTGAAAATATATTACAAGGCGGCTTGAGAATTCATCGAGGAAACGCTTGTCCTTATTTTTAATATTTTATTTTAAAAAATTTATTACATAAAAATATGCAGTGTTTTCAAGTTAATTTTAATTTTATTTTTGTTCAAAAAATTTTATATTTTATATATTTAATAATATTTAATTGTATAATTAAAGAGATTTTTTTAACTAAAATTTCTTTCGTTTGTTATTTTTCCAAGATTCGTGTAAATTCACGCGCGACAGTTTCTTTCACAAACACGGTACTTTCTGATGCGTCGAGACATAATCCGTGCTTACAAACGTATCTAAAACGAAATCCTGACCAGTAACCGGGCTTATCCTACGGAGATTATGTGCTTCGTCTTTCTAGCAGATATTAGGAGTTCGTTTGCCTCATTCCTTTTCCAGGGTGTCTCCTTGTAGCGAGAGAATTCAACTTGTTAGATTGGCGTAAACGGAGGAGAGGTCCTTTGCACAGTTACTGGAACTGATACATCTTTCGAGGATTATCCTATCCTCCTACGAGAAATAGTTAGGTCGAGACCTTGGAACGTGGATAGAGAAATAGAGAGAAAGCAAAGCAATTCGTCAAAGTAAGGTGAAAGGGAATTGCTTGCGCGCGAGGACGATCAGCTGGGAAAATAATTTCGAGTGCATCTTTCACATAGTCGGGATTCTTTAGATGCTCATGGCGAGATGAGAAAAATCCATGGCAAAGTTCCTCTGACTGCCGAGCCGAATCTGAGCAAAGCCGGCCGTGGGGAACCTAGGAACCGTTTGAATCATCGAATTTGATGGAGAGAGATATTGCCATTCCCTTGCGTGTTTCTCCGAATTCTATCGCGATTTCCTTTATTTTTCTGCACTCTTGTCTCTTTCAACGGTGCTGGTTTTATAAGAGACCAAATTGCACGGTTTCCTCGATATCATCTCAAAAACGACGATGCTGGGAAATTGGCTTTATTACCTCTTTCTGTTCGATCTGCGCGCGTACCGTGCCGAGCTATGTAAAGCAATGCTTATAAGATGCTTGATGCTTTCGATCGCGGATGAGAATAGGGAAGATGATGCGCTGCGAAAATTCTACCAAATTTCTTCCAAATAGTTGAAATACATATATATTGTGTATATATGCAGTGCCTGCCAAAAGTTCCGAGTTGGTTGAATATCTTGGAAAGTATGCATTTTTGAGCAAAATGTTTTACAAAAATGTTTTAGACAAACATTTGGGTTTAAGAAAATCTATTTAATCATCTTATCAATTTGATCTTGAGTGGCGTCGCTAATATCAGGTCAAGGTTACATCGATTTTTTTTAAACTGGACACCCTATTTTTGATGAATCTAATAGCCGTCAAAAGCTTTTCAAAACGCTACGATGAAGTTCATTTTTATTAAGTACTTTTCGAATTATAAAGCTTGAAAGTTACAGTACCACGCCATTATTATAGTATTATCCAAGATGTCCGACCGACGACTGAAACCCTTTGAATATTGTTCAGGACCATGTCCCAATAACATTTGTCAAGATCAAGGTCATGGAGATTGTTTCTCTTATTTTCATTTTTGCACTGAAAATTCATTTTTATGTATATAATGTATATACAATATTTATATATTTAAAAAAAGATATCTAGTAGAAGAGTCTCAAAAGTATATATGAAATATACAGATAATAATACATATAATGCGTTTTATATTGTCACTTAATCCTCATATTGTTCATTGTAATTAAGTTATTGTTACATAATTGACTTAATTTGTTATAAATTGTAATCTTTAGCATTTGAGACTCTTATTTGCTCGACGAGTTTATGCAACATGTATTTCATTACGTTGCAAGAAATTTTTACTTTTTCCCGTTACATAACTATATCCTTTAGACAGATGCACGCACAATACGCACATTGTTTGTGAAACATCTCGTAACGGGACGTTTACTTTTGTTATACGCATTTACCTCGAATTTTCGTAGAATTATTTATTCAATGCAACATAATAAAAACATACCGATGGCTACGTATTCGCGCGCATCGAAACAATTCCTCGCTTTTGCGTTTTAACGTTGAGGTATAAATGGTATTGCGAATTTAAGTTTGTTTTCGGCGAACGGTTGTGTTTATTTTTTCACATATTACAACTAAAACATTTTGATAAAATGATTGTGACAAAATTTCTCGTGTGATTTTTTTTATGTGAAGACAAATTTTTTTTAATTTGTTGTAATTTTTTCTTGCATTTGAGACGTGTCGTATATTGAGAAATCCACCATTGGTTGTGCAACCTTAAGGAGAATATACTTACGTGTATCGTTACTCAGGAAGTTACATAGTCGCGTATGCTTCTTGCTGATAAGGCCATTCAAAATGTCGGCAAGTGCAGGAATTCGCATCATCGTCGTAGTATTGTACATCGAGGCAGAAAGTGAAATCTTTTTCGATGTCGTACATGCATCATGAATAACTTTTCCTCCCACAAATTTAATATTTCGAAGACTTTAGAACTTAGAACGGTATTATATAATTTTTCCATATTTTTAACTCTGTTCTCGTTTACATTTAACTTTACTTATTTAATGCAACATCTGATTACAAATTAATCACAGATTCCCATGGTGAAAGAATAGTAATAATTTTAGAAAGCTTCGTTGTGATTTATACTATTATATTCATAAAATATATTTTTACTATTTATCAATAAACATTGGATTTTTAAAAATTTTGTTACAGGTGCGAAGCAATTTCCAGGTTTTGAAAACTTGCCACGCTCATTTTGGCACGAGCTTAGTTCACCTTTTACAGAGGTATATAAGTAATATATATTATCAGATTTTTATAGTTGCTTAGTTAACTTAAAATACAGGATGAATTATTTTAATGTATCGCTTTAAATATTTCGGCTGATTTTTATTTTCAAAAAGAAATTTTTAATAAAACTTATATTTTTATACGGAAAGAATGATTTTGCTGAAAGATTTAATTTCAACGGACACAAATCTGAAAATAATTTTGTTAGAAATAAATGTTAGAAATTAAAAAATGATGAAGAAAATACTGTAAAAAGTTTTGATATTCTAACAATCCATTTGAGTTTCTAACAAAATTATTTTTAGAACTATATCTATAGCAAAATTTTAAATCTTTTAGTAAAATGGTTCTTTTCATGTAAACTTGCAGGAAATATAATGTATAAAACAATTTTTTGTTATATGCATTTTACATGAGATATCAGGGTTATCAATATTTTTTCTGTATGTATTATTTGTCCTGTTGAAACTTGTGGAAATTATGTTTAAAACAATTATATATATATATATAATAAAATAAAGACTAATAAAAACAATTGAGATAATGTAATAAAATGGTCCATTACTAGTAATATTCAAATTTTGTTATATTTCCAACAATATATCTAAATAGAATATTTCATGAAAGCGCAATGTCCACTTTTGAAATATTTTTAATAATTCAGAGATAGATGTAACGCAATATTCAACGCACTCAAACTTAATATGCGATTTTTCGAAATATATTTCCAAAATAAATTACGCAAATAAAACGTTATAATATTTTTTTAAATTTAACATTTTCCTTTGTTACATCTTTTGAACAATTCTCGCAGTGAAACGTGTATTTGTTAATGTAAATAAGTTTATCTGTGTTACCAAAATTTGCAATTCAGATTGCTTTTACCATCATTTCGACGTTTGAATGTTTTGTATTCACTATTTACTGGGTTGGATAAAATATTACGTGTACTTAGGATTAACGGCACTTGCGTCTGTTTTATGTTATTTTAAGAGACTACAGTTTTTCCGATTATATTACAAGCATGTTAAATAATAAAAGGGGCGAATGTGCATTTTAGTTCTTATCGTAGGTTTACGAGGTGGAGAGTTTCGTGACTGAAACAGGTGGCACACCTGAACCGAGGCCATTTTTCGAGGATCCAGAAAGCAACATTACTGTACAACTCGGCGCTCAAGTCTACATGCACTGCAGAGTACAAAATCTACAAAATACTCTTAAGGTAAGTTATACACGTTTTTCCATTTTCAAGAATATTCAATATAACGTATGAAGCAATGTCTCAGGTCTGCACAACTTATGCAGCTTTTATGTAAACATACCGATATGAAACTCTTTCATTAATATTTTATGAATTCTTTTCATATAAATCTCTTCATTCCTTTACAATTTTAACTTTTCGGTGCCACTTTGTACGGAAAGAATGAATTTGTTGAAGTATTTAAAAATTTAGCTAAATACGGATCTGAAAATAATTATTGGATATCAAATAATTATGTAGAACGCTCAAGATGGTTGCCAGAATGTAAAAATTTTTGCAATACTGCTCATACTTCAGCGTATTACACAGTTATTTTAATAGTTTAACAAAATGATTTTTAGATCTACATCTAGCTAAATTTTTAGGTATTTTAGCAAAATCGTTCTTCGTATAAGTATGATCCGATTTCTGATTTCCAATGCTTTTTCAATGATTTTCTGTTGCTTATAACTTTTTTATGAATAAATATACATATATTATGTATAACATATATTATCAATATATTATATATATTATATATATTATATATATATATTACATATATTATTAATATATTATATATATTACATATATTATATTGTTATGTTCATTTGAAATTTTGACAATATGTTCATTTTTATGAAAATTATAAGCTAATTATTTTAGTTAAGTATGCCATATCCAAGCGTGTTACTCTTGTAGTACGGTACCGAAGGAGTAATTGCTATAAAAATACGAAAGAACACTGTTTTACTATTAAAATGTTTTATTCCATATAAGTCCCGTATAAGAATATATAGTATAATAAACATAACATTTCCTCAATGTATGCAATATTATGTTATTTTCTAAAAGCCAAGCACTCCACTGTTTTATGTAGAAACTTTGTTGATTTTCCCGTCCCTTTTCTCATATGCAGCACTTAGTTCATCCTAATTCTCCCAAAGGAAATTCCGCGGATGGCGGTAGGATATTTTCCTCCTAATTTTGTGGCTACGTTACTCTATTACTATGACGCAAATGATAGTTATGATGCACGAATTTCCGCGCCTCTTACATATCTTGTATGTTTATTCAATGTAAAATTGTTTGTTTATCGAACATAATCGAAAATATAAATCATACGAAAATATAAAATATATTTTGTAATATACAATTTATATTTCTATATCGTAATTATTTATAGAATATGGTTTTTACAATTTACAGAAGCACATGTAATTATTGAAATATAATTATAAGTAGCATTTTGTGTGATTTTTTCTGGCTTTTAGAAACATTATTGTTAGTGAAAACTGTAACGATTTATCAATGTTATCAGATAGATTCTCAATATATATATATATATATATATATACCTTCACTAATAATTATTAAAATAATTTTCAAGTTTTTGCTTAAAGTTTCTGCGGTTCTCTAATTTTGGAAGACTAATACACTATGACGTATTGTTTCTTCGCGTGGCATTGTTTCCGATCGGAGTACACCCATCGCGCTTAAAGGATCTAATCCTTAACGTAGATGCAATGAAAGCATTCAGCAGAAACTGATAGTTGTGAGCCTTTGAAACAGTTTCGAACTTGATATTGCTGAAGCTCTTAAGACAAGTAATGCTTTGTTACCAATAAATACCGATATTGATAGTGTGACGATTTTATTGCGGTTTTGCAAGAAGGAAAAGATTTATTTGTATACAATGATATTATTAGTTCAGTTAAATTTTCTTCTTTTTAATTGCTATGATTATTAATATGCTTTCCTGTGTATAAATTTTTGCTTTTCCGAAATCAAATAATTTACGTTTTAATTAAAAACATTTTACGTAAAATCCATTAATGACGAAAATATTTATCGCGTGTTCATTTATTTGAGTTACAAACTTGCATTTATGAGGGAAATGTCTGTTTGTCGATATCGGTTGCCATAAAAAATATGAAAAAAAGAAACCACCGTTTCATTTGCACCGTTGCATTTGCGATGTATCGCGATCAATAAATCGTTGGTGAACTTCCCAATCTTTCGAGCAAAGCTCGAGTCGCATAGGAAGCATTTACAAACAGTGTACCAGAACATTTCGCTCGTTGGTTTGCGAGTACTTGGAATTCAATCTTTCTAAGTGAGAATGCGGTAGGGGTTGAATGGAACACAAGTTGGTTCATATAGTGGAATGAAAGTTGTATATGTTTATCTGTATTCTTGTAAACGGGTTTTTGAATTCGATTTAAGAACTGATTTAAGAATCTCTCTGAAATTCTTTTTCAACTTACTAGAGATGTATGTGAAATAAATTATCGTTGATTTTATACTATCGTTATTATTAAGAAATCACGCGTGTAAAATCATACCAAATCACATGCCATGTGAGTAAAAATATTATATTCTTAAGTATGATAATATTATCGATAGACGAGTCTAAGAGAGAGTGTTCTTCTGTATTAAACATTTCAAATATGCGAGAACGATCTAACGTGCCTTAGGAGGAATTTATGTCATGAATGATATTTTTGACATTTCCGTTGTAGTAATTTTCCATGTTAGCAAAATGTTTATTTTTAATATTAAATATTATTTCATACATTATTACAATTGTTATATGTATTTAATACTATCATAACAAATTATATATAAATTATTTTAAACTGTACACACATTATTGTTATGTGTATTTGTACGGCGAGTTTAAACTTGTATTTTCTCTCCCTTATTTATATTATTAAATTATTCATAAATATATATAACTATATAATATTAATAATTATATATACAATAGGTAGTAGCTATCAGAAGCTGCCAAAAGTTTTTAGTTAATGAGTAATTTTATTGTATTGCTCAGATAAAGAATCTACAAATAAGGATCCAGTATGCAAATATTTTTAATATATTCTAGCATTCATGTTCTTAAATTGATTATAACAAGATTTTTATTAATGTATAATGTAAATTGAAAACAGATTAACAAAAATAATTGTAAAATTATATGTTGACCAGAATCTTTTGGTAGCCCTTTTGTATATGGGCACATCATTAAATATATCAAATCAGTAAAACTGTTTCGTAATGAGAGCGGAAGATTGTTTGGTTTATTCCGATGGAGCTCGAGAAAATTATGGAACAGCAACTTCATTAATAGTAACAAAAGACTTGTTTCTTGCTCACGATCAATAATGTTAATAAGACGGTTGCTCGAACTACTCTCTGTAATGCAGGATCCATGAGTTTGCTGTTCCAGCTGTTTATTCTCAGTCGTCCAATGTCGGACGAGTACGAAGAATGATTGACTTAAACTACTTAAGGACAACTCATGCCCGTAAGCACTCACCCGTTCCTTGATGAAATAATCAATTTATGTAAAGTATCTCAGTGTGCATATTTTAACCATATTCTGAATACATTTATTTCGAATTATCGCTAGCCTACTCTCGTTTTAAAATCTTAAAGTTTTATACACCATCAAGGACAAGTCTAAGAAATTCGTATATAAAATGGAAGGGGAAACTTTTAGGAATTGCTTTATGTTTCATAACTTATGGAAGTTAAATAGAGTAAAAAAATGTATGTATAATAACATTCTAGGGATAACATTCTAATTAATTAGATCTATATTATTATATGTAAATAACACATAGAGAAATTAGAAAACAGTATGTAGGTACTCAAAGTTACTGGTGCGATGCAAATAGCCGTGGTTCTTATAAGTAGGACTTTTGTATTCTGAATTGTCTCGAAGTCGTTACGAACTTCTTCCTGTTTTCGCGACTTTTCGCGCATATTACGTTCACATAAGACGAACTTTTAACGGTGTTCCACGTCTTGCTCCACACTCAAGTTTATACCTGTGTAATTAGTTTGACGAGAACTCGTTACTACATTAATTATAAGTGAACCAAGACTCTCTCTATGATGATACGACGGTAATGTCTTTCGTTCCGTATTGCTTAAAGCAGATAGGGATTGTACGTCAACGAAGGAAATATTTATGCAATGATGTAGTTTGATGATTAATTGAAAACCGAAAGTTCCAAAATATCAAGATATTGAAATTACACAATTTTTGCACAAATTTTATAAACGATCAATTCTGTAATATTAATTGATTATTATAGAATATGATTTACCTATAAAAAAAGCAAAACGCAAAACACAAAATCAGTTAAACAATAAAAACTCTCTTCTGAAAAATAAAAATTGATAATAGACGGTACATTGGCTTGTAAATGTAGACCTAACCGGGTAAATTTATTTTTAATATTTATTAACTGTTCAAAATAAATATAAAAGTCATTTCAATTATTTAATTAAATTTTCTGTTTGCGATTAAGAGCTCTAACTCTCGAGTTTCGTTTGTTTTAGTCTCTTCTTCTTATGTTACTCGACAGAAGTTACACGAGATTGCTATGTAAATCAAATAGATGTTGAATAAATGCTTCTCGATTGCTTGACCGCACTGATTCGTTGTGTGCATCAATTCTAAAGGAAATCGTATGTTGGAATGTCTTTCTATTCGTAGTAGTACAGTACTGTAATGCATAGTACTGTAATGCATCGCTTTCTTGAATTTAATCGAGAGTGGAATTCTAGAAAATAATTTATGTAAAATAACTACTTTCTGAATAATTTCAGGCAAATTAAAACCCAAAATTTTTGCATCCATCAATGTTTACATTTATATATTAAAATAGTTATATTTAATCGATATATACGTACGTTTTAAGACATATTAAAATGTATTGTTTTATGTACAAAACAATGGCGAAGTACTAAAATTAAAATTTGCAAACGAAATTGTGCCTGAGAGCAAATTACATATTTTACACATTCTGTATTCGCTCTACGAAAGTTAATTAAAATCAACATAATCAACAGTTAATATGTAACAACAATTAACCAAAATGTAATTTTATATTTTTGGTATTTCAATTAAACTGCACAATCAAATTTTGCCATCAGACGACAATGTTTATGATCTTTCTTTGTTGTTCAAA